AAAAACAAAAAAAAAAACTAAAAGACAACCCTCCTCCCGACAGGCTTGCAACTCCACAACTGTCGCGTCAGCAACCGCAGCGAAAGAGATCACCCAAACGGACAGGAATCGGGACAAAACACCAAACCTGACACTACAAAAGGCCTAAAAGACCCAACCCCAAGTCCAATCAACTCTCCAAGGTAACCGACCCTCAACCAGCAAGCCCGAGACTAGCCCTAACTTAACTTCCCCTTACCAGCCGGCAGCCAGTGACCAACGACCATCGGAGCTAACGACCCAACACCACCGGTGCAGCCCAACGCCCAACCCCAGGAACGCCGGGAAAGCAGGTGGGAGCACAACATCGGTCCAGCCCAAGCTCCAAACACCCCACAAACTACCAGCATGCGGGGACGGCCAACCATCGGTGAAACAAACCCCCACCACCGGCGCCCTCCGGCCACCCCACCCCATGGAAGCAAGAGAAAAGAGGGAGAAAGAGGGACTAACCTCAGCTCCAGCCTCCACCAGGCAGAGAACGGAACCAGACGACCGGCCACCCCATTGACGGTCAGAGCTGTCACGATCGCAAAGATCTTGCCCGAAGACAAAACTCCCGACGAGACTCCACTCGGCAGAGAAACCCACCCAACGGGAACCAGGACGCACAGGGCACACGGCGGCAGCCGCAAGGTGACACAGAGCATCCCACCAAGGAGGATGCCGACGACGAATTAGAAGCTAGGGTTTTCTATTAACTAATTGGGGCAAACGGGGAGAGAGAAGGTTGTCAATTCTTCCAGTTTTCCTATAATCATAGTTTAGTCCGTTTTAATTCGAATCATTGACCGTCTAAAATTACACAACATTTATGTTGAAACTGGTTTCTCTGTCTGACACTATTAAGTTTCATTTCCCGAAAATAATATTAACTGATTGAAAACCAAAATCCCCAATACATTTAACTTCGACAGACTATAGATTAGAGAAAACTGCAGAACTTCAAAATTGTTTTCAAAAAAAAAAAAAAAA